TCAGCAAAATATATTACACTGTTCTAGTGGTTTTTGGATATTTTAATAAAAAAATCGTACATATTGTGCCTTCAAAATTTAAGTTGTTTTAGTTAATAATGAAATCTGATCTGAGGATTAAAAAAAAAAAAAAAAAAAAAAACTTTCATTTTATGGCTCAGTGTCCTCAGTAACATTTGGTGTATTTCAGGAATCCGAGACTGTTACTTGTGGAAAAAGCATTACGTTTAGCTCACCGGCATGCTAGACAGACAAACAAGCCTCGGTTTTTCTGTTTCCTGCTCGGGACGCTGGCAGTAGACTGTGGTTAGTATTGAGAAGGCTGGTATTTGGACATCCTATAATCATTGTTTGATATTAAAACGTGTTGCGTCTGCATTTTACTAACTAATATTTTCTTTTCCTAGATGAGGAATGTGTGACGATAACCCTGGATCGTTTTGATCCGGGCAGAGAGCAGACGGGATGTCCTGGGAAAGCTCCAACTGCCCTTCTCCCCGGAGACATCCTTGTGCCATGTGTATTTGAAGCCCAGCATGCTACTGGCAGCACAGTGCACTCGAGGGAGGATTTGAACATCTTGTTTAAGGTAGTTGATCTGAGAATTACTGACAGCACATGTTTAACAAAGGCGGGGGCTCTTTCCTCCTGTTTCTGTGGAAACGTATTGAGGCATAATGGTAATCAAGGTCACCCTGTAACCTGTCAGTAACGGCTGCCCTGATTGTGACACAGTGCTCCTTAGAGACAGGTGATTAAGTGTGTTGCACTGTTCCCATCTGGCGTGGTTTCCTTGGTTTCTTAATTTGCTTTGAATAGTTCTTAATTTAATTTAACCATGTTATTAAGACATTTTAATAATTTTATTCCTTTTTAAACAATTCGGGGTCATTACGTTTTTAAGTATTTTTAGTTTTTGAGTAATACTTTTATTCAGCAAGGATGCATAAAATTAGCAGGGCTCATACAAGGTGCATGAAGTACTTGAATTTGACATTTGAAGGCCTGGAAAACCCTTGAAATAGCAATATTCCTGACTTGAAAACTTGAAAAGTGCTTGAATTATTGAAAAACAATGCATATATGAAATAAGTGTTCAACTTTTGTCAATAAGCACACATCTTCACACAAAATTAATGCTGCACCCTGTCTTATGTAGACCTTGTGGAGCCCCGTCCCTTTTCAGCACTGCGCTTATTGTCTTTTGCCTTTTGGTTTGTATTTCCACAGTATATGATAACTTTTGTGAACTCAATAAGTAAATCCACTTCACCAGCTATCACTCTTCGACACACTGCCATAAGCCCTATTCGGACGTGTTTCTCATTGGAGGTCGACCGATTGATCGGCTGGCCGATTTTTGGCATTTTTTTAATTAATCGGCATTGGCCAATTGTGCTGCAAATTAGGCCGATTTATAGGCAGGCACATCTGCGGGCAGCTAAGCGTTGTTGCGGAACAACTCACATTCTGCAGCCGCTTCTTGAACGCTCACAGCTTCAGTTAATGGTGGCAGGGCAAAAAAGACAGTTTCGAAAGCGAAATTACGTTTTACCCTACTAGAATTGATGCCGGAAAGTTATCATATTCATAAGTGCAACAAGTCATTTGCATGTGAAAGTAGAAACGCATGCAATTCAGACTAAACTTCTGGGCTGATTATAACGTGCACGTTAACTTTCCTCATGAAATGTGTGTGTAGGTCCGACAATAACCTCCACGATGTCATCGCTTGTGGCCAGTGCACTCTTAAGCAGTTATGAGCAGCAGACTGTGTAATATGTGTGAACTCATTTTTAATTATTTTTTATCACTTGGCCATTTGACTTATAGCAGTGTCCATTGTTTCCCATACATTCAGTCATTTGTGGTGACTCGTCACCACCACAAATAGATTTCCCAAAAGGCTTATATGTTGTTGAATAAACTGAGCACTGCACGTTTCAAAATTAAAATGCAGCGCGGGTGTTTTTATATGAATTTATCTTTGAAAAGAACCGACCGTCTTCAGTAAAGCTTCAATGTCATTTTCATTTCGTCTTTCCTGTAATGTCTGATAAAGTAGCGTTTGTGAGCACAGTGCTGATTTGATTAGTCGTTACCGAGGAAACCGCTATATCTCCGCTCCAGCAGCGCCTCCTGCTGGCATTTGCAAGTTTGTGGGAAACACTGGTGTCTGTCAGCAAACATAGACAAAAAGCATGCTTCAGAGCTGTTTTGAGAAGGTGCTTAAGTTTTGAGTCATGTATTATTACTCTGAATTAGGCTGCTACTACTATTACTATCTTGTACCCTGCAATAATCATTTACTCAAACTCACTTTTATGAAAAAAAAAAAAAAAAAACCAATCGCCCAAAATATCGGCCATCAGCAGCCCTGATTTCTAAATATTGGCATCGGCCAGTGAAAAACCCATGTTGGTCGACCTCTATTTCTCATGTGGACGTCTGTAAAAATTTGCATGGCATTTCGCTGATAAAACTCTTTCTGGTGGCGATTTATTCATGGTGGAGGAGCGAGTTTAGTGGGAATGCGCACGCTGCTCACACGGTCAGTCGCATGATTGTGTGCTGCTAATAAAATTGAACATGCTTGGAATAATGAGAATAAATTAATAGTTAATATACAATATCCTATTTATTATTTAATTATTAAATCTGTTTAAAAATAGGAAGATAGATGCGCTATAGTTGAAATGGTTTTCTGTCTTGCATTTAATCTCAAAATGATGTGTCATATATGTGACCCTGAACCACAAAACCAGTCTTAAGTCGCTGGGGTATAGTTGTAGCAATAGCCAAAAATACATTGTATGGGTCAAAATTATAGATTTTTCTTTTATGCCAAAAATCATTAGGATATTAATTAAAGATCATGTTTCATGAATATATTTTGTAAATTTCCTACTGTAAATATATTAAAACTTAATTTTTGATTAGTAATATGCATTGCTAAGAACTTCATTTAGACAACTTTAAAGGCGATTTTCTCAGTATACATTTTTTTTTTTTCACCGTCAGATTCCAGATTTTCAAATAGTTGTATCTTGGCCAAATATTGTCCTATCCTAACAAACCATACATCAATGAAAATGGAAAAATTGCTAATCTTCAACATGTTTTACACATAGACTGTAAAAAAAACATGGACGTAGTGTCCGTGACGTCACTCGTAGGGTTCAGAAGAGCATTTTTGAAGCCTAAAGTGGGCGGAGCCGACCGCCGCCATCTTGGCCGCGCGTCACTCCCGGATAATCGAAAATGAGCAAAAAGGCGGGACGTGGGTGAAGATCGATTTGACTTTGTTTTAGATCGCTCAAATTAAGTTACGGTGCTCTGCATTTGTTTAGACGTTCGTCAATATTACTGTGCCAGCCTGGAGTTGTACGGTATTCTGCCTTTGTTTTAATGTCCATTAAAGTCTGCGCTTTTAAATTACGGTGTAACTTGTGTACTTTCATACATCTGTCGGCACTTCTTTAGACAAACAAATTAGATAGATCGCGATCAAACTGCTCCATATAACAAAGCACTGTAAACAAGCAACGGCTAGATAACTTGGAAACAATTAATCGTAAATAATCTTTAAAGTTTTTTTTTTTTCTTTTTATAATGCAGATGCCAGCTCTCAGTCTAGGGCTGCCCACTTCTGCACGTGTGAGGAGTCGAATACCATGACAGCGTATCACATAAAATCAGTTACTGTACGCAATTAAATCCGTTTCATACCTTTTCTTGTAACTCGATAAAAAACATTGCAATGAACGTCATCGGAGATGTTTAATTCACAATCATTCTGAGCATTATTCCTGCTGGCGTTCACATCAATCCACAAGTCGTTCTTAGGTTAAGCTATTTTCATTCAGTTCGATGTAAAAACAATAGGCTAAGTATGTCTTGCATCCTTTAATGTTAGCGAACATTGCAAATAAATTGGCTGCAAAACAGTATCCTCTCATTTTCGTCTGGTTGTTACGGTCAGAATTTTTTTTGTAATTACATTACTATACGTTATAGCCTAGCCAATGATCACTAGATTTTATATAGATGTTACTATAATGATTCTGTAAATGGTGATCAGCACCCAAATATTGTATATAATGTGGAAGCTACTGCCTTTTGCCTTGGCGTGACATCTCACTTTTTGCAGACAGTGCAAAGGCAGCGTACCTACAATAACTTCAAAATAGCGGTAAAAATCAAGTTTGAGATAATTTTCCTTAAAACATCTAATTTCCAGTGTCCTACCCATAATTAATTTTTTCTGGACAAATAAAAATCTTTAAAGCCATTTTTATAAGTTTCACAGTCTAGCGAGTTTCACACTCTGGAGCAGAGCTGCAATCCACCTGTCACTCAAGTGGCCACGCCCTTAATTATGCAGAACTTTAAAGGGGTCATATGATGTTGCTAAAAAGAACATTATTTTGTGTATTTGGTCTAATGAAATGTGTTTATGCGGTTTAAGGTTCAAAAAACACATTATTTTCCACATACTGTACATTATTGTTTCTCCTCTATGCCCTGCCTTTTTGAAACGCGTTGATTTTTACAAAGCTCATCGGTCTGAAAAAGCGAGGTGTGCTGTGATTGGCCAGCTATCCAGTATGTTGTGATTGACCGAATACCTCAAGCATGTGACGGAAATGTTACACCCCTTACCAAATTGTGATAATGCCCTGTCAGGCCGGAGCGATGAATGACATGAAAACAGGCATGACGAAGTAGATATCGTCCTCTTTTGGAAGACCAAACAAAGTAGTTTCACTTCCACAATGAAGCACACAGCGCTTTCACGACATGGCGGCAGCAACAATACTACAGCGAGAATAAAAGTTACGCCGCCTTTCTTTGCGTGAACATTTGGGCGGCGTTATGCAAATCTTCCCACATAGCGACGTAGATATGTGGGGGCGTGTTTAGATAGGCGTGGCTGACTCTTAACTTTTATAAAGAATATCTCTTTGGATTTGAGACTTTAGTCTTTGCAACTTTACAGATCTTCTTTATGCACCAAGAGCTTGTAACACTCCAAAGAGAAAGGAAAAATTTAAATCGCATCATATGACCCCTTTAAGGCTTAATATAATTTAAACGGATGAGTTATAAAAAAGTTCACCCCCCTCACAGTTGTCATGAAGGGCAAAATTACTTGTATAGACCAAAAGCACTTTTTGTACCAGGCTGTAAACATATTTTTTCTGCTGTGAAATTGGGCATTTTAACATGGGGAGTCTATGGGACTGACTCCTTTTTGGAGCCAGCCTCTACAGGAGTCAGTCGATGAATTGCAGTTTTAGTCACTTCCGTATTGGCTTCAAGCAAGAGACCGGGAGGTTGCCGCTTGGTTTTACACTAAGCAATACTTTTCGATTGAACTATTTTTAGAGAAAAGAATCAATCTGAATGAGGAAAGTGATAACTTTATAATATTCTTTCGATGGTTATGGGGATTTCCCGTGACCAGGACAGCGCTTTGATCTCTTTGAAGTGATTCAGATTCAGCTTCAGCTATTGTTAAAGTGACATTTCTGATTGAAGTCCTTGAAAACCAAAAAAGCTTGAAAATTCCTTGAAAGTCCTGGAATTTTAATTTGACAGTATCTGTACAAACCCTGAATTAGTCAAATAGTACTAAAAAATCAGTTTCAAGTAAATGCTGATATTTTGAACTTTCTGTTCAAAGAATCCTGAAAAAAATGTATCATGGTTTCCATGATGATATTAAGCAGCACAATCGTTTTCAGTTATTATGATAATAAGAAATGTTTTTTGAACAGCAACTCAGCATAGTAACATGATCTCTGAAGGATCATGTGACACTGAAGACTGGAGTAATGACTGCTGAAAATTCAGCTGTGCCATCACAGGAATATATTACATTTTTAAATATTCAAATTGATTTTTTTTTTCTTCTAAATTGTAAAAATATTTTACGTTACTGTATTTATGATCAAATAAATGCATCCATGGTGAACATAAGAAACTTCTTCAGAAACCCACCCCAAACATTGTATATTTTAAATTATAAATATTAAAATTAATTAAAATTATATATTTATTATGTGAATATTAATATTACATTCATTTTGTTTTATTTTTAACTTGAATTAAAACAGACCGAATTAAAACAAATGTTTATTTCATTACAGCATTTTTGTTGACATCTCATTTAAAATGTATGTACGTTGAGATTATATGGTCAACCACTAATGCTTATTTCTGTGTCTCTTTCCAGATGCTTCAACATTGCTGCTGCAGTAAAGAGATTCTGGAGTTGTCCAAACTCCTCACCTTGCGAGCTCGTCTCAGCTGCTCTGAGAACATGGACAGACTCACCTTTGACCTGTCCTGGGCGGCTGTCACTTTGGCCTGCATGCTCGATGCCGTCCCTGTCCGGGCAGTGCCCGTCATCCCAACCGCACTGGCCAGGAACCTCAGCAGTCCTGCAGGTGTGACCCAAAACAGCAGGAAACGTGGGTAAGGAAGCACTTCTATTTCCTTATATGGCCATGCTTTATTCTTGAAAGCTTATTGTGTTTTAAAATGTGACTCATTCTGTGTCAGGTTTCTTACCATGGATCAGACCAGGAAACTTCTCCTCATACTTGAATCTGATCCCAAGGCTTACACTTTCCCGCTAGTAGGAATGTAAGTACTTTTATTGTTTAGAAATGGTGTCTTTCTTACTGCTTTATTCGAGCTGTAGGCAGGTATTATAATTCAGCCCCATTAGTTACATACTTGGAGTCCTGCAAGATGTTCAGAGTAGGTGTGTAACAGTTGGTCTCCTATGGCAGATGGTTGAGTGGTGTTACACACATCTATAATCCCATTGTGTGGGCGTGGTGTCTGAGGTACCTGCACAGCTCCGCCCTCCAAGACAAGTGAGTGTCCCATCCATCTGCTCTTTTGCTCTTGTGGTCCAATAAGTTAGTTAGCTTCAAAGGGCTTAAAGACAAAATGAAATTAAAATGTCTGTATTTTTGTATGTTATTCTGATTAAAAATGTTTTCGTAATCTTTCATGAAATTATAATAATTTTCTCAACATCTGATATGAATTTTCAGATTTTGTAACCATGAAATATTAAATAGATAATTTTAAACAATTATAAAATATCTTATTTAAAATTACATAAAATATTAACCAACGATATTGGATCCCACTTTTCATGATGTAATCAAATGCTGATCCTATTATAGAAAAATAAATGTACTAAATGCATCTTCATTATTTATTAAATGGAATATATTTAATTCTTTTTATAGATTTAATAATTTGTTTAGGAAAGCATAGTTTTAATATTATTGCTTGTATTATTTCAGCAATCCTTGCCCTCAATGAGAAGATCAAGAGAAGGCTCATCAGCATCATCTGCATCATCGTCTTCATCCTCTTCCTCAAAGAATGCTGCTTCGCCCAATGGCTCTTTTCATCAACAAAGGCAGCGTTCTTCCCAAGGTTTCCTGACCAAACCCCAGCCAATTTATTCCGGACCCCCAACATCAGCTCACAGCAGTGTCAGAAAGAGTTCAGCAATGCCTAGCCAGACCCCCATTCATCATTCGTCTCAACACAGGCTCTTCCATAGCACCCCAGCTGCCAACCCTTGCAGCTGCTGCACCAACCAACCCAGCCACGTCCCCTTGTATCAAAACAACACCTGGCAAGGGACACCATGTGTCCCCATAGTCAACACCAACAAAGGTTTTGTTGAGCAAGTCCTGTCCTGTCAAACCCAGTGCTGCCAAGTCCAGTCTAGCCAGGTAGCATGCTTAGACACCCCCATAGGTCTCCTTCCTGCTGATGCTTACAAGATGCTTATGGATCAAGAGCGTCAGTTGAAGCTGCTTCAACTCCAGGTTTGTATTAGTAAGGCAAACATTTTATCGTTGACCTGTTATCACATGTTGTTAACGGACTTTCCTTAACAGATTCAGAAACTACTTGAGTCTCAGAGCAAAACACCTCCGGTATCATCTGCAGAACATGACACTCAGCAGGAAAGAGACAATCAGACACCCACATCTCCACCGAAACGAACGAGTGTCAGTGTTGCTGTAGGAACAGGTACTTTGATGGAAGCGTTCATGTTCTTGAATTTGTTACGAGTTCCTTTCAATGTCGTGACATTTTCGTTGTTTGTTTTTTAGGGGCTAGCTTGTTTTGGAACACCTCTCAGGAGGCCTCCACACATGAAGCCCCAAATCTGGATTGGCAAACTGAGATAGACCCAAAGTCTGGAGGTCAAAATGACAGTAAAGTCACTTCCAGACTCGGATCCGAAAATGCATGTCATTACACCGAAGAGCGCAGTCCAGGATCTCCTCTACATCCAACATCTCCAAAACCCAAGTAATGAACCCTTTGTTGACCCCTAATGAACCCTAAACCATTTTTAGCGATTGTCAACCTTCATAATCTGATTTGTCGAAGAGTGTTACACTTGTATTTTTTCCAGGCAATGTTTGATATTTTATTTGTCTTTGGCAGCATGTCATCTGGTTTCGGAGCCCATTCGTTTCAGAGTCCAGTGTTGGGGGAGAGTGCTAGCATGTATTATAACTCTCAGTCACAGAGTAACGATCTGTCTGAAAACCGAGAAATTGACAACCCAAGATTTTACCATGAACTACTGGTATGGCCCAATTTTTATGCTTTAGTTATAATTTTCACATATTTAATTAGAAATTGATGCATTGTGAATGTTCAAACCAACTTTGATTCAATACCTGCTGCAGGGTCGGGTGCAAAGTCGTCTACAAGACTCCGCAATTGTAGAAGAAAAGGTAGAGCAAGACAAACAGAGTGTCCCAAAAAGACAAAGTATGTCCCCTGTAGGCCTTCAATCTAAGAAATCACCGACATCTTCCATACCCCAAACTCAAAAAACGAAGCACAGATCCAGTCTTCCATATCAGGACCGTGTCTTAAGTGCAACATTAAGACAGCTCCAACAGTTCGGGGTGAACATAAACATAGACTCTGCCCAGGAAAAGACGATACGTGCAACTGTGGAAAGTGCCAGGTAAAGACATAGTCAATGACGGATCATTTTATCAAAACTATTATTAAAAGTCTTGTTTCTAACATCCTTTTTCTCTTCAGTACCCTTGCCTGCATTAACCCAGAGGCGGTGATTCCAAGACTAGCTCTTTCTGAACCAGTGGGGACCAGCATTTGGGGACCAAGCGGCAGTGTAGACCTTAGCCTTGAGGCCAATGCCATTGCACTTAAGTACTTAAGCGACTCGCAACTGTCAAGACTCTCATTGGGCAGTCAATCCTCAGGCCCATGTCTAGACCCTAGCGCGATGCTCTTGAGAAGACCCGTTGCAGAAAAGAGCAGCGTTGGACTCGGTATACTGTCCCCCAGCAATATGTCTCTAGCTACCTGTAAGTACATGAAGAAATACGGACTGATTGAAGGAGAAAACAGCAGTGAAGAAGAGGACACCGTCCTGGTAGACTCAGCTCTCGGGTGTTCTGTACAGCATGAAACATCCAAGTATGTGAGCATTAAGCAAGACCGTGAAGACCAGAGTGCTGCGGTTCTAAAAAACATTACAAACAAGCCAGTCGCCAATCTCCACATGTCTCCCATTGACTCTCAAGAGCAGCTAATCCTAGACTTGCGGCCCAAAATGCAGCTGCTTATGTGTGGCGGGACAAACCCAAAGAAGAAGAATGATGCAAAGAAAGGTCTGACTCAACGTAGGTCCTCGCTAACTGAAAACCAGAGGACGCAGGAAGTCACGGAGCCTGAAGGGTCAGTGGGAAATTTTCTGGATCTGAGTAGGTTACGCCAGCTCCCCAAGCTCTTCTAAAATGCATCATGGGGGTTTTCCAAACAGATCCCTTTAACACACCAACAACTCAAGAAATGTCAGTTTGTTTTAAACCCATCCTCGAAGATTTATCTTCCATTGTTCGTTTACATAGTATAACACGATTTTATTTTTAAAAGTGTACAGACTCTTTTCTTCGAAAGCTTTTAAGTGTTTTGTTGTCTAACTTTTCATCTTGTCACCTTAACGTTATTTCCTGTCATATGCAGGCTTAAAAGTTTTTACATGTTTACCTGATGACTCCTTATGTGTCATGTACTGTATGAGTAAAGTGCCTTGTATGAAGTGACTCACTTAAGGCAGTATTGTTTACTAATTTTAACTTTCCAAATTTTGTCTCGTTTGTGCCATTACTTGACTGTTGATCTCAAATTGACATGAACCGTTTCCGAGGGAAAGTTACTGTTGAGTTTTTATCCTTTTGTGTTTTGTATGTTCTTTTTAGATGACTTTAGGTACATGTATGTGTCCATAATTAAATTGTGTATTCTTTTATATAACTTTATTTTGTGAGTTTTATCACTGACCATCACATCCTTGTGTTTCTCATAAGGATATCTAAACATCTCAAACTCATGTAATCTAATTAGAAGGTAAATGTTTGACTTGCTAAACACACCTGGTGACAAAACTACATAAGTTCACATAATAGTATCTAAGGGCCAGAATTGAGGTAAGTTCTTTTGACTTGGGCTAGACCAGGGTTCCTCAAATCTTGCCCTGGAGGGCCAATGCGCTGCAGAGTTTAGCTCCAACCCTGATCAAACTCACCTACCTGAGATTTTCTAATGATCCTGAAGACATTGATTAGCATGCTCAGGTGTGTTTGATTAGGGTTAGAGCTAAACTCTACAGGAAAGTGGATCTCGTGGGCCAGATTTGAGGATCCCTGGGCTAGAGAGTAACCACCCAGAACACCCTAGCAACAGCATACCAATGAATTAAACATCACTTGGAGTGCCTTAGCAACCGCATTGGAACAAACATGTTGGATTCACGACTTTAACATAAACGAGAGCCATTTTCCTCAAAACTTTTGTGGATGTGAATGTAGACAAAAGCTCAAGACAACACCTCACTTTAGTTTCTCACTCTGCCACCAAATATAAAGAGGCTGATGGGCTGAGATTTAAAACCGACTAAGCTGCTTTTTTGTGTTTAAACTGCATTTTGGACATCACCAATGCTGTCTAGGTAAGGTTGGAGACTTGACTCCATGTAGGATACGGGCTTGATGTGTGTATGATCTCCGGTTGCGCAATCCTGGACTTGTCTCGCTTGAGCTGAGACTCGGGCAGTCAGTCCAAAGAAACTTTCATTACAGCAGCAGGCGAAATTCGCCCTTCTTCTGTGAAGATTGAGCTGAACCAAATATTGTGAGTACATGTTGTACTGCTTATATTATGCAGGTTTACTGTCCTTTTAGATTTAGTTTTTCTTATTTACACACCGTATATAAAGGCTAAAACAATGTGTAAAAAATGTCTGTAGCTTAGGAATACAGCAGAATATTTTGAATCACCTTTAAAACGCTTAAATTGTCATGTCTGCAGTAAGTATCGTTAAAATATGTGTAGTTCGATTGAAACGCCTAAAACTATTACAAATGAGCGTTGTAAGCGTTACCTAAGAAGATGCATCAACCGGCGTAGCATAAATGCTAACGCTCACGAGCACATTATTCAATAAGAATACATTTTATTATTGGTTAGTTAAGTTTCTATGTTTTTAAAGTGTTTCACTTCGCTAAATATTATTACAAACCGCAAGGGATTCGCTGTAGAACGGGTTTAATTTAAGAAATGACGTTTAGCCGAGCGCTAGAAGCTTTGTTTTGTTAGCACGCCGGCTAGCTGTTTAATATTCAAATTTCAAATCGGTTTAAACGGTCCAAATGCGCATTGATATTAGCTCACATTTTATACGACTTCATGAAGAAAACGTCTTATGGTGCTAGGTAAGGATAAGTCGTGTTTATTTTGTTTTTATTTGTTTTAATCAAGAAATGGCTATTCGTGAACCTGCTGACTAGCGTAACAGTCTGACAATCTGAGCTTTTAAACCAGTAATGTTTCTTCCTCATCGTGTGGCATTTGACTAGATAAACGAGTAGGTATGAAATAATATATACATAGTTGCAGTTTAAAGCGTGGGTTTTATTATTATTTCAGCCATATCCAGCTCTAGTCAACGGGCTTTGTCTCTGTCTTTCTTTCTTTCTTTCCTGTCCTGAAGGGCTTGTCGGTGTTATGCAAACGGTTTACACAGAAATAGGATTTTCTCAAGAAATCTTTGATTAAGAGTTTCTTGGGGATTCATTTGATGATAATGCATTTGATTTGCTTCATTTAGCTGTTAAATCGGATCGGAATGTGATGATGCACACGTGCTTATTGTCTTTTTCTTGGCACAGATTAATTAGGATGTGGTTTATATATTGTTCGATCGCGTTGAGTTTTGTAATTAAACGCTTGATAATTAAGTGATGCATAAAATCTGTGTTAACCTGCTTTAGGGGGTTTCCAATAGGCAAAGGGCAAGAGATAAGTCTCGGCATGCTTTGAACAGAGGTAATTTTTTCCATGACTGCTCTGGCATCTAAAAAAAATATTCCTCTTTTTGAATTACAAAAGTGAATAGTTCTGAGAAATCCTGGTACCGATGAAACCATTTATGACATAGAAAGAAAACGTGGGTGTGCCCATATAAAACGGTGCTTTTGTTAGCTGCCACAAGAGGAAGTACCTTAGTTGCATGGGTGGCTGCTGAAGATAATTTTTTTTTTTTAATGGTTGAAGTTCTCACACTTGCACATGACTTGTGCAGAAATCCTTGCAAAAACTAAACTTGCATTCCTGATGGAGTGAATAAGTGAAGATCTAAATAGTTTTCAGTTTTGATTTTGTGACGCATTCAGAAAGGAAACAGGTGTTCGATTTCGCAACTAGTATCCTATGATTTTGTTTTCAGCTTCCTTTTGTCAGCGAAGCATGATGGAAACTGCTCTTTGTTATGGCTCATGTTTCTGTTCCCTATAGGTCAGAATTCCTGCCTTCCTGCTCCTGAAAACATGTTGATTTTGTTTGTCAGATGAGTCAGAGCTCAGAACTCGTAACCTTATTTGAGTTTAAACGCTTCCTTGTTATGCTTCCCGCTGGAGCGGTCGAAGGAATTGCACTTTATTCGTGATTAATCATTTGAAATCCCCTGGGTTGTGTGTTGTGGAGGTGTTGCTTTGGTTATATAATGGCTATTTCGGGCAGCTTTAAGGTACGGTACGCAGACTGTGCTGTAATAAATGATGAGTCAGGTTATTGCTGCTGTTCTGGACTTCCCGGCCAGGAGGACTGAATGTTTCATAGAGCTCATGTTGTCTGGCTGAGGGCAAAAGGTTTAAATGTGATGTTGGCCAAAGGATCCTGCTTGAAGTTCTCAAATTTATTTTTCAAGTATTTTTATAAGCATGTTTTCACGATTTTAATATCAAAGTTTCCTGGGATTTGATCAAATAAATTTTCATTACAGACACTGTTACAGTTATTGGGTCTTATTTATGTTATGTTTTAAATTAGTGGAACAAATTTTTGTAAACGGTTCATAAAACCATTTAAAATGTATGTGTTATAAATAAATTGAATTTTTAGTATGTCATTTTTTTCATCACATCAATTAATATAAAAAGATTGAATTTAGTTAAATTTTTAGTTTGGTCTTTTTAGATTATTTTGTTTGTACTCTAATCTCTTTCATTGTTTAGTTTTTTTCTTTCTTTTTTTATTTATATATTTTGGATTTTTGTGCTGCTAATGTGATGATGAGAGTTTAAATAGCAGCATTTTCATGTTTAATTATCAAATTTGAAACCTTTTTGGTTATTCTTTATAAAACAACTTATTTTATTTGAGGAAGTTTAAGTAATATCATTATAAACATCGTTATTATTATAATTAAAACGTTATTTTAGTTTTTAAAAAGGTGTTTGTTAACAATAACAACATTGTTCTGTTTCATAAATGAGGCTCAATTTAGCTACAGTGTTAGAAATTTAAATTTTAATGTTTTATTTCAATGAAGTAATAGGCCAAGACACAATTAATAAGCATTAAAGGGATAGTTCACCCAAAAATGAAAATTTGATGTTTATCTGCTTATCCCCAGGGCATCCAAGATGTAGGTGACTTTGTTTCTTCAGTAGAACACAAACGAAGATTTTTAACACAAACCGTTGCAGTCTGTCAGTCATATAATGGAGGTGAATGGGAATCACAGCTTTGAATCTTTTGAGTCAAAAAAACATACACAAACAAAACCAAATTAAACCCTGCAGCTTGTGACGATACATTGATGTGTAAAGACACGAAACGATTGGTCTGTGCAAGAAACTGAATTACCGCCACCTATCTCTCAAATGGACCATTGACACTCCTAATTGAGATTGTAGATAGTGTCAATGGTCCATTTGAGA